TTCTTCGTCTTGTTTTTCTTGTTGTCGTCTGGCTTCTTCGTCTTGTTTTTCTTGTAGTCGTCTGGCTTCTTCGTCCTGTTTTTCTTGTTGTCTTCTAGCTTCTTCTTGTTGTCGTCTAGCTTCTTCGTCTTGTTTTTCATGTTGTCGTTTGGTCTCTTGAAGTTCCAACATTTTGTGCAGGAGTTCTTCAACTTTTTGTTCGTCCATTTTGGCTTGTTGTCTTGTGATAGGCATATACAGAATGTTTTAGAATTTCCCTCGAACTTTCTTCAAATATCTTTTCTGGTCTTTGCTCGAAGTTCCAAACACGCCGGTGAAGTCACAAATTGGATAACTTGCCTTATTCTGGAATAGAATGTTCTGGAATTTTCTTGAAACTTCTTTTCTAGATGTCGATTGATACAGCAAACACGTTGGTGAAGTCACAATTTCGATATCTCCCTTGGTTTCCAAATAGAATGTTCTAGAATTTTCCCGAAACTCCTCGAAAAACTTCTTCTGAATGACGATTGATGTTCCGAATACGTCGGCGAAGTCACAAATTCGATATCTCCCTTAGTTTCCAAATAGAATTTTCTAGAACTCACGAAGATTCACTATCACAGTCTAAATCGGGTATAGAGTCACTTCCGGGGTAATTCACACGATCGGTTGAGTCTCTTTTTGTGATTGTCACTGTTTGCACTGCACAACTGTCCCAGTGTTCACTTAGTATTTAGTTTTTACACTACACTAGTGTCCCCACACTTCCGCAATTGGACTTCACTCTGCAGTCCTTTATATCCCACTTCTTGGCACCAATGTCGCGGCTTTGGGTTGCCTGCTGACAAAAATCTTGGGTTCGTTGTTCGTTTCGTTTATTCCAAAAATCAAAGTCCGATTAACACAGCAATAATTTATTCCACTTAACAAAACACTCTGACACCAACTACTTTATCAACAAACTCAACAATTAAACTTTACAACTCAATAATCACTATTTAAATCGTATCACACTCGAACTGAAACTTATAGACCGGTGGCCCAGCGTCAAATCACCCCCCTCATCGGGCACAAAATTTTCATTATGAGTACTCGAAACAATTCATCATACGTAACCAAAAACCGCCCGTCTGCCAGCGATGGGTGGTAGCCCGCTCCTGTGACCGCCCCCCAAATAAGGGAATTTTGATCAAAAACCCCCCTTACGAGTACACAAATAAAAATTTTTGGGCATGTAGAGAATTATATTAGAAACCTAAAAACACGCGGCAGACGCCTTCCAGTGGTAGCCCGTCTTGAGCAGACGCCTTCCAGTGGTAGCTCGTCCAGGGCAGACGACTTTAAAAAAAATATATGACGTAAAACTCCCCTTACGAGTACATTTACAAAATTTTGTAGACTTAAACAGTCAGATTGGTGTGCTAAAAATGCATGGCAAACGCCTTCAAGTGGTAGCCTGTCCAAGACAAAATTACGCTGAAGCATTTCTTATTATGGATAAAGACATTAAATAAAACTACAACATAAGTATTAGGGACAAAAACACAGATTTATATATTATTCAAGAGTACTTAAAGTCTGTTTTTTTTTTAAAGATAATTCCCCAAGTCAAAAATTTAGTAACTATGTTGGCAACACAAGCCTTTTCTACATAAAAAATTTGAAAGCATTGACAATTTTACATTGTATTGCCAACATAATGTCATTTTGACTTTTATCTTCAAAAAAATAACGCACTTTAGCATTAATAATGATAAATAGGAGTTACAGACATGGGTGCCGGCAGCAGGGTGCAAGGGGGTGCACTTGCACCCCCCTGTCAGAAATACATTGAAAACATTATTCTTCATTTTATTATTATTATTATTTTTTTAAGTAAGCTACTGTTTGAATCAAGTTATTGAAGTGAGGCGGCGTTCTGATATTTGGACGACATGTTCTGTGGACAATGGAGAGTGATTTGAAAAACGCCTCACGAAATTTTGGGGCATTCATTCAACTTCTTGAATTAGTAATTTGGACCAATACAACAATCCACGTGCCGCCACTGCCTGTATGCACCCCCCTGAAACTAATCCTGGCGGCGCCCATGGTTACAGATTATATAGGAACACGGTAGAGTAATGACTTTCCCAGACCTGAATTCACTAGAGAGTCATTACGGGGGGAAGTCGATAATTTGTTGGAAAATTCGTGAAAAATTAATGATGCTTTGTAGAGATTTTTTGAAGTTTGAGGATGATAGAGTTAACTCTAAAACACAGCCCAAGAATAGTTTTTTCAGTAAAGTTAGGTGTGGGAGAGTCACTACGTAGGGAAGTCGATAATTTGTTTGAAAATTCTTGAAAAATTAATAATGCTTTTTAGGGATTTTTTGTCATTTCAGAAAGAAAGAAGTGACCTTTAATCACATCCGAGAATACTTTCTCTAGTCAAGTTAGGTCTGGGAAAGTCACTCCGGGGACTAAAAAGGTCGATTATCGCATAAGTTTTTCCCCTCTCTAATATTTTTTCTGTTTGCCCATCAGTTGAATGGCCTGATCGATAGTTCATAAACTTCATAAATCTATCCCTCCAAGTTCCTAAAATTCTCTTAGCTTCACGCTTTAAGATCGGTTTTCAGTGTCATGAAATGTGGCTGACCTAACTTTAGGTGCAACCTTGAACTTTTGCCAATCCTGAAAAAATGAACCGATTTGGGATTTTTTTAGTTTGCAGCCCTTTTCTTCTTTCATCGAAGCTAGAATTTTTTTCAGATTTTTCAGAGAAATAAAATAAAAAATTGTGAAGACATTTTTTACAAAATCTCGAAGCGTGTAAACACAGTAAAAAGTGCAGTTTTACAAAGATAATTTTTATTCTTTCTAAACAACAAATTCCTTAAATAGTCCGATCCCCTATTACCTGGACTGGGCGCGTCGCTTGTAGGCTGCAGGTGAGCGTCCAATGAGAAACAAGTTTGTTACAGGCTGGCGTCATATTCTTATTCAGGGCCTAGTTCAGAATGAATCGTTCCTTCTTTCTTTGTAACGTCTAATTCGACAAAGAGCAAAGCAATACTTTACATATTACTTGAACTCACCGCAGTGTCGTTTAAGGTTATGTTAGATCATATTTGACATATTCCTTTGCAATTTCATTGAGCGATGCAGCCGAATGAAACATTTACCAAAATAGAAGTGCAAACGATGTTCAGCCACTTTAAAGCTCTTTTTGCGCGCACATCTCATGTTTTATTACTTTCTAATTTGTATTTATTACAATTATTAAGCTCTCTTTTCCTAATCATGCGAGATAGGTCTATTAAGTATATTTAATTTTCTGAGAATTTGCAAAAAAATTATTGACATCCCGCCGTAGCGACTCTCCCAGAATCAACTTGATTAGAGAAAATATTGTCGAATGAGCTTAAGGGTTAACTCTATCATCCTTAAGCTTCAAAAAATCCCTACACAGCATCAATAATTTTTCACGAGTTTTCAAACAAATTATCGAATTTCTTCCGTAGTGAGTCTCCCAGACCTAATTTGACTGCAAAAACTATTTGTCGCTGTGCTTATGGTCAACTCTATCATCCTCAAACTTCAAAGAATGCCTACAAAGCATCATTAATTTTTCACGAATTTTCAAACAAACTATCGACTTTCCCCCGTAGTGACTCTCCCAGACCTAACTTGACCGAAAAAAATATTCTGGACTGTGTTTGAGGTTCAACTCTATCATCCTCAAACTTCAAAAATCCCTACAAAGCATCATTAATTTTTCACGAATTTTCCTACAAATTATCGACTTCCACCTGTAGTGACCCTCCCAGACTTAACTTGACTGCAAAAACTATTCTTGACTGTGCTTAAGGGTCAACTCTATCATCCTTAAACTTCAAAAAATCCCTACAAAGCATCATTAATTTTTCCGAATTTTCCCCGTAATGACTCTCTAGTGAAGTAAGGTCTGAGAGAGTCATTAATCTACCGTGTTCCTATACAATCTGTAACTCCTATTTATCATTATTAATGCTAAGTACCTACTCTTGAATAATACATAATTTGTGTTTTGGTTCCTCTTATGTTGTAGTTTTATTTAATGTCTTTATAAGGAACGCTTCAGCGTAATTTTGTCTTGGACAGGCTACCACTTAAAGGTGTTTGCCATGCATTCTTAGCACACCAATCTGACTGTGTTTAAGCCTACAAAATTTTGTGATTGTACTTTTAAGGGAAGTTTAACGTCATATATATTTTTTTTTAAGGTCGACTGCCTTGAACGGGCTACCTCTGGAAGGCGTCTGCCCTGGACGGGCTACCACTGGAAGGCGTCTGCCACGTGTTTTTAGGTTTCTAATATAATTCTCTACATACCCAGAAAATTTCATTTGTGTACTCGTAAGGGGGGTTTTTGATCAAAATTCCCTTATTTGGGGGGCGGTCACAAGAGCGGGCTACCACCCATCGATGGCAGACGGGCGGTTTTTGTTTACGAATGATAAAGTGTTTCGATTACCTATAATGAAAATTTTGTGCCCGATGAGGGGGGTAATTTGACGCTGGGCCACCGGTCTATTACTTACAAACCAATGCCGGCCTTCTTATATATCCCTAAATCTATTCCTGTGAAATCTAGAATACACACGATAATCTAATTTTCCAGATTAAAGTAGAATAATTCGCTAGATTCTAGTATTTCCGCGATCGATTCTTGACAGCCTGGCGGACGTTTAGCTTATTGTGACAGTATATTAATAGCTCAATGCTGATTTCAATGATATAAATTTTGATAGGTTTATCTTGAACAGTTTCCGATAAAAAAAAAAAAGCGAAAACTGTTGAAGACAAACCTATCGAAATTTGTATCATTGAAATTAGCAAAAGCAGAGCTTTCCAATGACCTTATAATGCGGCCAAGGGCCCTTGGGACACAAACTCTGCTCTGGGGTATTTACACCCTCCTAATTCCCTTGATACATAAACAACTATTATCTAATCACAAGCTTTGAATAACAATACCTATTATTATTTTAGTCAAAAACGAGACCACTAGATTCTTGGGCGATGGGGTCAGTTTTAAGGCAAAGCTCATTGGAATTTTGGAAGTATCTGAAGCTAGAGGCGATAGAATGTGTCAGGAAGCATTATGCGATCTAAAAATGGCTATAAGAGCGGCTGGTGAACATAAGCAAAGAATTACTGTAAATATTGCTATTGATGGCTTAAGGTTGAGAGACGAAAAAACTGGGGTAAATTATCAAACTTGACTGATCTCCAAAACCAATGTGACATTAATTTTTCCAGGATTGCCTCTACCACCATCCGGTTCACAAAATTTCATTTATTGCTCAAGATATGACCGATTCAAGAGCCTTTGGTTATATTTTTGGTTCTCCTGATACTGGCCATAGATTTTTTGGCATAAAAACAGATAAAGCTGCTAGCCAGGTACAAAATCAACAATTTAATAGACACTTAACAATTTTTTTTTTAAATTGTACTTTTTAGGTTGTTATTGCCATGAGAGATCTATTTCAAGTAGTTTTTGCCTTAAAGAAAAAAGAAATAGAATTAGCCAAACAACATTTAGAGAAAAGCTACTTACCAACTTCACCTCTTTTTTCTGATAGCCCCAACTCTACCTCCAAGGTAAGAAGAAAAAAGACTTGGGTATGTATCTGCTTTTTGGCTATGTATTTATTTTTAGTATTCTATTGCTTTTGGATCTAAATCCTTTGATATTTAGATGTAAGCTTTGGTACCGCTTGGATTAAATATTAAGTATTCATTTTTACTAGAATCATGCTATGCAGTTCTAAAAAAATTAGAAATCCTGTCATTATAAACTTTAATTTCAGCCAACAGAAAAGTCAAAAACTGAACCGAAAGGAACTGCAAGTACATCTGAAAATAAAAACAGTGGTACAGCTGTGGCAGACTTAGTCGATCTCGAGTTAGAATTAAACAGTTTACAGCAAGGATTAAATCAAATGGAAAGAATAACACCTTCTGATCCCTTCGGATCTAAAGATGATCCATTTGGGGACAGTTTTATCAGTTATCCTATAAATGTTAGTATAAATGTTCGATAATCATTTTGTTTTACATATTTCTTATATTTTTAGAAGCTTATCTTACCTCCACCACCATCCTCTGGCCGAGAAAGATTGAGTAGAACTTCAGAAGCAAGCAGCACAATTAGCACCAGGACACCACCAAATACTTCAGCAAGCATTGATAGCGCTTCAGATTCACTTTTCAGTTCAAAATCGAATAAGGAATTTTCATTCTCCCGAGATGTTAATAGTTCTCATGATGAGCCTAGTAGTGGTGATTGGTTTAATCCGTCATTTGGAAATAGTATATTTGAGGAACCACCAGCAGTATCTGCGGCTGAACCTACTTCAAAAGATGACAAACACGAAGCAGCTAAACAGGAAATTATGTCTCAGTTTGATGTATTTACTGAACTAGATCCATTGGGTAAGTAAAATTATACCTACAATATTTGTACCAACAAAAATTCAACATTCAGCCAGATTGGCTCTGGCTAAGATTGGTTTCTTGTTGGTACCTATCTACAATCATTCGCTTTGGGAATTATTGTTTGCTTTATTGTTTTTTAAATATGATTTTGATATTATGGGAATAATTGGTTTGTTGGTATCATGCTTCAAGTTTACATTTGTAGGTTTAGGTACACTAAAATTTTAGATCCTGGCACTGTAAGAGCAAATATCTTTTATTGTCAATTGTGAGAAGATGATATAAATCGGTAAAAAGGTTTCTACTCTTGTAGTAATCTATATTCATATATTGATTTTTTATATCTAGGATTTTAGGAATAAAATTTTATTTATTGGCAATTGAAAGTAGGTGTCAGTAACGCTGACCCCTAACTTAATACAATTTTTTTTTTGTATAAGTCATATACGTGAAACCATTTATAATATAAAACATTGTTCTCTAAAATCTTTTCCTTTAAGAACCTGTTCATCTTTTATTAAATTTCCATGATTAGATTATTATAGAAGTGTACAAATTAGTTCCAAAAACGTGTCACATAAGTGTGTAGTAGGTACAACTTTTAGAGTAAATGTTAAATCTTCTCACAACTAACCCAAAAATAACACATAACTAACAAATTCATTAATATCAAAAATGAAATATCTGTGGTAAAATAAAATAAAAACAAATCTAAATTCATTTATATTTTTAGTTTCTTTTCAGTTTAATTTTTGGTTAAAAAGTAGTTAGAGACTTGAAATAAAAATAAAGTGAAAGGGCTATTTTATTTTACCCTAGGTACCGGTAGAAGTAAGCCATATATTGATAAGAAACATTTCTTTCAAGAACTCAAAAATCCACCTAAAAAGGCGCTGAACGAACTGGCTTCTAACAACGCAGCACCGCCAACTAGTACTGATCTCTTTAATATCAGTTTTAGTCAGCCTCCAGTTATCAGTGGTCAAAATATTGGTTCAAATACAACAGACGTTTTTGCTGCGGATCCATTTGGGGAAGATCCGTTTGTAAAAGAAGATCCATTTGCAGATTCTGACTTCTCAAAATCGGATCCTTTTGAAAATGAGTTTGCTACACAAGCTAGCAGGGAGCTACATGCTATCCTACAAAATAATTTGTCAAAATCTCCCAGAACTTCATCTCTTGACAAACCATCTCTAGGCGTTAGTCCGAAGACAGTTCAATTTGGCAAGACAAATACTTTTGATGTACAATTCAATAATTTTGATAAAAAGCCTAATAATTTAGCGACGTTGCAAGGGCAAAGTGTCGAGATGTCGTCAGAGTCAGAAAGTGCTCCTGAGCCGCCCCCTAGACCTGCAACCACTTTATGTGAAATCCAACCTCCGCCTTTACCACCCAAAAAACAAATTGATATAATATTAAAGCCACCTCCTCGTCCACCACATTCTGAAGACAATCGGTATGATTATATAGAAAACTTCGAGACTAATAAGAAGTCCATTTCAATGAGCCGAAGTCCTCCTATACCTGTTCCACAAAGAAAATCAAAATTTGAGTCAGATTTTACAATACCACCAGAGCGACCTAAAAAACATAATCAACATTCTAGCGATGAGGATTATTTGACTCCAATATCGTTTCCTGAACGTTCTGTCAGTCCTGAAGTACTATTGCCTCCACCTCAAAGGCACATTAAGAAAGAACGAATTAATCAGGTTACAGTGGCTTCATTTCCAGAGCCTAAACCAATAGTATCCACTAGTGTAGCCACAGATAGTTTGAACAATTCCTTGGAGGGATTAGACATGACTTTAAGCCAGTTAACTTTGAGTGGATTAAATGAATTAGCTACTAAGCTGAAAATACCGCCACATAAATTAAGCAATATGACACTAGTTCAATTAACAAATTATTTATCTACTTTTATCAAATCACAATCGCAAAAATCTGAAAATAATGATAAGTTTCCTAGCTTCCAAGCAGATTTTGCAGCTAATTTCAATGATGTAAGCAATACTATAGCTACAAATTCTGACTCTTATGATAGATATGCTGTATTTAGAGAGTTGCAAGAGGAAATTAAACAAACTAGAATTGATACTGAACCTGAAGAAATTCAAGAAGAAAAAGAACACTTGCAGAACTCTCCTTCAGAAACGATACAAGTTCCAAATGAAAATCAATTGGTCGGTGATGATAAGTATGCCGCATTAAGAGAAATTGTTGAAATTGAAATAAAGCACGTGGAATTGAAAGAGGATGATGAAAATCAGAATATTAATGAAACTGAAAAGACAGCCAAAGGCGACACTGTTAATGAAGATGAAGGTAATAAAATCGAGGATATAAATCAAGCGAACAAAGAAAATACTCTACAAGAACCTCAAGATAAGGGCATGAAATCAAAAGCTTGTTTCATTGAGTATATAGATCAAAGAGAGCCTAAATCAAAAAATGTTACACCCGACAAATCTCCATCAAGATCGCCGGTAATGAAGAGCCCTGTACCGAGCGCCATAACAGAACTTATACAGTCAAATGCGAGACTCACGTCAGGATCTTTGTCAGATGTTCTCAGTGGTAGCTCGCCAGAAGTTGATAATACCGGAAGTAATTCGGATATTCCCAAGAAAAATTTAGATCCTGCAGGTAAGTTACCAAATTTTTTTTTATAGAATAATGGTTTTGTGTAATTACTAACAAGAATCTAATATATTTATATGCTTCATGATGTACCTAACTGACCTCAAACATTAATCAACTACGAATCAAAACATAAATCTATAAGATATTCAAAAGAAATCTCTAAGGGTTTTTCACTTGGTTTTTCATCAATGTGATTGGTTAATATTGTCAGCTCTCTGTTTAATTCTATAATTATTATACTAATACATTAGTTTACTGGGGTTGGTAGGCATTTCCTGCATTTGCTTTGTCCAAAGAGAAAATTTAGAACAATTTTTTTCAATTCTAGAATCTGCACTAATTACTCTACAGCAAGGTAATGAAATTAAATGTATGGTTGAAGGACAGGCAGTAAATTAAAACACTAAAATCCTAAAATCTATAAACAAAGTCAGAACATATTTCTAGTATAGTCTAGAATAACTGTAAATCTAAAAAAAAAAAACATTTAAGTTTTCACATTCATTCTAACTAAAGTAACCTTATTGTTGAAGGTGAATCGTGGGCAATTTTCGACCAACCAAATATCACATCAGAGGTAAAAGAAAATTTGGGCGCTGCTCAAAGTGAAGAAGGTGTATCCCCTTGGTCTAGCGATTCCAAGGAATTTGGCAATAGATCGCCTACAACCTGGAAAAAAGAAAAATCCGGCGAACGAAGGAAAAAACACCGAGAACAGGAAGAACGGTGGGATACAACTGCTGATCCAGAAGGTGAAGAATTTATTTATTTATTTAACAATTTAAACGGGTAACAGCCCAAATTTTACAATTACTATAATAATACTTTCAAATAATAACAAATTACAAATAAAAGTACAAGAAACTATTCCAAAACAATAAGGGCACTTCTCAAGTTCTTCATCGTTGAGCGTCTAACGGCATCGCAGTTCAGTAGAAGATGATGAGGTGTCTCTTCTCTGTCTTCACAGAATGTGCAGGTGCCACCTTCTTTTAACCCTAACTTCTGTAGGTGTTCCTTAAGTTGCAATGTCCCGAGAGAAACCCGGTTAGAGTCTTGAGACTTTTCCTTCTAAAGTTGACTAGCAATTCTGATCTTTTTTGGTTGAAGTTGCCCAATCGATCTTTCGCCTGTCGTAGTCCTGGCTGTTTTAGCCATTCTTTGTTCCTTAGCGGTTCTTCTTTGTTCCTTAGCGGCTCTTTTTTTTTGAGGATTTCTTTGAGGTAGGCATTTCCGACGCCGCAAAATGGTTCTGGCCCAGTGAAGAGTCTGTCTGCGTATTCGTTGCCCTCGACACCCATGTGTCTAAGGTTGAACTACACCCATCCTCCGATCGCATGAAGTTCCGTTTGAAATATGCTTGGTGATTTGCCTATTGGCTCCGAGTATCTGGTCCGTGGCCCGATTACTCCGGCCCCAGTTCCCTCAGCAGTTCTGGAACCGTCCTGTGTACCATTTGATGGTGTTTGCTTTAAGGGATTGGATAGATTCCATGTTCTATCTGTTTTTTGTGCGTAGTTCGATGAAAAAGTTTTTCTCGAAACTGAATTTATCAACAATCATGTCTTTTGGTAGATTCATGAGGTGTGCACAGTTTGAGAGAGGAAAAGTTCTACCAAGGTGCGTTTCCCTCTGTAGACCTATGTTCTCCAGTCTGAGACATGATCCAGTGGCAACCCGCTTTACTATTATGTGGAGTGGTGTGAGGTCTAGAATGGCTTCTAATGCCGCGGTTGGGCATGATCTCATTGCTCCTGTTATACAGAGACACGCGAGTCTGCACTTTTCCTAGGGTTTTCCTAGCTGTTACTAGCTGGGTTTGGCTATACCAGGCTAGTGCTCCGTAGGTGATGATAGGTCTCACTATCATGGTAGACAGTATACATCCATCTTAGGATTGATGGGTTAGAACCCCATGTTTTACCCGCAATGTTTTTGCAGACCATGAGTGCCGAAATTGCTTTGTTTTTTGTGTTCTCTACATGTCGGTTCTAGAAAAGTTTAGAATCTAGGGTTATTCCTAGGAATTTAACTTCCTTTTTCCAGTCAAGTCTGCTTCCATCGAGGCGAATGTTTTTCAGGTTTTGGAGTTTCGTTCTTTTCTCTAAATGTTACCAATGTGGTTTTTGCTGAATTTAGATTCAGCCCCACTGTCTGACACCGTTTCTTCGTGGTTCGAAGTGCTTTTTTTTATAAGATCGCAGAGTATTCCTACCGAGGGGTCAACCACTCTGTAAAAATGTGTACACGTATTGCGAAAATTTCGGTATTTCGCAAGTATTTCGCGAAATCAAAGTATTTCGGTGGTGGTAATTCGAACGTAGTTTTTTGTGGTATTGCCGAGTACTTCGAAATATTTGCAGGTAATTTTAAGTATTTCGAGGTAATTCGAAGTATTTCGAGGTAATTCGAAGTATTTCGCGGTATGCTGAGGTATTTCGCGCTATTTAAAATTATTAGTATTCTTTTTTATTTACCGAGAAGAATTAATTCTATATCATCCAAAATTGAAATATTATAGAATAAAAATTATAGTCCATCTTCGAACAGGCTAAATCGAGGGCTAAATATGTTGACATAATTTGGATTCACTGTTGATTAATTGAAACAAATGGAAAGATATACTACCTGATATGTATAAGTAATCAGAGGGCTGGAACTCTGTAACGGATAGAGATCATTATCCCTATCGCTATGGCACTTGCTGTCTTCTTCTCTCTTGTCGAAATCAATAGAGAGGAGATGTCAATAGAGATAGAGAAAATATCTCTATTCGTTACAGAGTCCCAGCCTAGGGCTATTAGTGAAGTTGTTAATAGTACAAGGTCATCAGTCATCCAACGAGGACTGAACAGGGGTTGACAGGGGATTATTTTTGACTTTCCCTGTATTTTTGAGCAAATCGAAAATAGCCAATTGGAACATTTTTTTTCTGGAGAACTCAAAAATGGTACCAAAAAATCATTTGAACCAGAAACCAAAGAGTTACACCATGGATGGGCGGTTTTTTAAATGGAACAGCCTGTTTTTTGTATGATGATGATGCATTCTGTTGAAAATATCTGATATTCCGATAGCTGTTTTTATCTTATTTTTAATGTTTTATTCGTATTCCTGCAACAATTGATTTAATTGTAGTTTGTGTGTCCGAATAAAATCCATCATATCAAAAGACACAAAAATCCGAGTAAAAATTCTTCACTGCGATCCACAAGAAGAATCGTTATAAAACGAGAATTTTTTTAAAAGTATTGCGGGTCTTCGCGCGGTAATTCGAGGGTATTTCGGGTACTTCGACGGTAATTTCATGGGATTTCGCGTACTTCGACGGGAATACCTGGTATTTTGAGGTACTTCACGATATTTCTAGGTACTTCCTCAGAAATTCGGGCCCTTGCCACCAGAACTGATTATCTAAAATTTCCTGTGCAAATATGCCTCTAGACAACAACTATGCCACATTATCCGAGGATTTTACGTAGCGCCATTTATAATCGAAAGTTAACTCTTGAATCTGTGATACGCGATTAGATACGAACACAGACCACCGGCTAGCATGACTCTTGCACCATGCCAATGCAACTTGGGAGTCAGTCCACAAGTTGACAGAGAATAAAGTTATTTTATTTCCAAAAATATTGACTAGTTTTTTCACTTTTTTTTTTTTTTTTTTTTACGGATATGCGCACTCGCAAGGAAATGTCCTATCACGCTCGAGAAGCGGCAAGTGCGCGGAAATGTCGGTGTATGTTGGTCTTGAAACGGTTCAGGTTGTAACCTGCAGGGAAAACCGTCGCAGGGAGTTTATTCCACAGCGATGCTGTTCTCCAGAGATATGAATTCTGATATAATGAGGTTCTTGGTACCTCTAGTTTGACAGTAAATTCATGGTTACCGTCTGTTTGACGGGTTCCCCTGGTAGGTGCTACTCTCGGTGGAATCATACGTGCCAACTCTTCAGAGCATTTTCCGTGATAGTACCTGTAGAAGAGAGATAAATCGCCCACAGATCTGCGATGTTCGAGACCATCCAAGTTACGAGTAAGTACGGGGTCATTGATCAGCTTGATAGCTCGTTTTTGCACGGTATTCAAAAGCATTAAGGTATGTTTGGGTGCTGCACTCCATATATGTGAGCAGTACTCCATAGTTGGTCGAATCTGGGCTTTGTAGAGTGTCAGCAATTGGCTTGGTGTGTACAGATGTCTTGTACGAAATAGCACCCCCAGCTTTTGGGAGGCCCTTTTAGCAATATCTGCCACGTGACTGTGCCAAGACATGTTGGTCTCTGCAGTAACCCCCAAGATGTTCAACTGAGTCTGTAATGTGACAGCACTTCCAGATAGCATGATGTTTGGCTCACCGGTGCTGGTCTTTTTTGAAAACAGAGCTGCTTGGGTTTTCTGCGCGTTGAACTGTACAAGGTTTTTGTTACCCCAGTCCTCTATTATCTCCAGGTCGTTATTTATCTGCGATATTTGAGTTAGTCTAAGATGATGGAATTCACGTGCGGAAAGACCTGTGGGTGGTATGAGTGAGGAGACTACATTGCCATCGTCTGCAAAGCAATAAAGTGGATTTACTGTTTTATCTATGAGGTCATTTATGTAAATCAGGAAAAGAGTTGGCGAAAGGATTGCTCCCTGTGGCACACCAGCATTTATTTGGTAAGAGTTGGAGTTCTGGCCATCCAGTGCAACATAAATGGATCTGTCCTTTAGGTAACTTTCAAACCAAGTGCAAAGTTTCGGCGATAATCCCATTGCTTTGAGCTTGTTGAGCAGATTTTCATGCCAAACTTTGTCGAATGCTTTAGATATATCTAAGGCAATTGTTCTTGTTTCACCCCGCAACTCAATCGCTTTTTGCCATAAGTGAGTGACGTATGTAAGTAAATCGCCAGTTGACCTATATTTTCGAAATCCGTATTGCTTATCGTTGATAATTTTGTACTTTTCCAAGTACTTGGTTAGGTGATTGTTCACAACTCTTTCCATTACTTTTGATATCACCGGAAGTAGAGCAATTGGTCTATAGTTTAACGGATCTGTCTTTTTTCCTTTCTTTGGAATGGGTTGTACTGCGGCAGACTTCCATGATAATGGATATACTCCTTGCCTGTAAGATAAATTGAATAATTTTGCGAAAGTTGGGGTGAGTTCGTTGGCGCAATTTTTGAGTACTATTGCGGGAATGCCATCCGGACCCATTGCTTTGTTTGGATCCAGCTTTTTTAGGGATTTTCGTATTTCTCTGTGACAAAAGGGTACCTCTGGAATACTATGGGAAACCCTTTCAATGAACGGTGGAGTTTTTCCGTTGGAGGAAAACATTTGGGCAAGCATATTGGCTTTTCCCTCTGATGTTGTGGCTAAGTGATTATTTTTATCTGTAAGTGGTGGTATGGATGACTTGGTGAAGTTAGATCCAACAGCTTTTGCAAGAGACCAAAAAGACCTAGAACTACTTGGACAATTCAGCAACCTGTTTTTTATTCTTTGATTGTATGTTTCTTTAGCGGAGTCAATAGTAATTTTGCAACTATTTCTGGCTTCTATAAATTCTGTGTGGTTTTGAGCGGTTTGTTGTCGTTTCCAAAGGTTATATGCTCTGTGTTTTTTCTGTACAGCCGTTTGACACTGGCTGTTGAACCAAGGTTTTGCATTAGCTCTACGTTTAGTTGTATGTGGGATATATGCGTCCATTCCAGATAAGATTACTTGTGTTATTTCATTACAGCAAATAGTGGGAT